CAGTGTGGGGGTTCCTGGTAGGTTGAAATCGATGTTGTGGACCCAGCTACTCAGAAGGTGCTCTCGAGAACGCCCAGGTGCTCTATTGAGGAGCTGGAGATGGCCGCTAAAACTGCCAGCGAGGCGTTCAGCTCGTGGAAGAGAGTAAACTGTGGAGGGAGGTTGACCATGGTGGTGACATGGGGTGATAGGTACCTGTGTCGGTGCGCCAGAGGTATATGTTCAAGTATGCTGAGCTCATACGCAAGGTGTGCATGCGTGCAAGTTTGCGGTTGTTTTATATTGTTATCACAGGACATGGACAACCTGGCTCGTATAGTGTCGGATGAGTTGGGGAAGACTCTGGAGGATGCTAAGGGAAGTGTAGGGGGACGAAGGAACTCCTGATAGGAATCTCATATGCGCACGCTATAGGTCTTCCGAGGGCTTGAAGTCGTGGAGCATAGTTGTTCAGTGCAGACAATCATGATGGGTAGGGCGACACCCGTTGGAGATTTTGGTGAGTTTCTGTGATGGTCTAGGTGAAACTGTGCAGGGTGTGGCCAACGGTGTTGATACTTATTCGTTCCGCGAGCCGCTTGGAGTGGTGGCGGGGATATGTCCTTTTAACTTTCCTGCTATGATACCTATGTGGATGTTCCCTTTGGCGGTTACCGCTGGAAACACGTAGTACAGTTGCAATATGTGTTGGCTTTCCTCAGCTGAGTTCAGGAGTTTACATACAAATTTGGGTAGAAGTGTAAAGAAACTGCTAAAAAATTGCTAAAATTTTCTGAGGATTTTCATATTATCACCAACACACGTAGTTGACTGAGATTAGATGGCTATATGGTCTCTCGTAGTGTATGCAGTTGTTGCTCGCGCGGGTTTAGGTTCATTCTGAAGCCCAGTCCTCGTGTGCCATTGACTTCAGTTCGCCTCATGGAGCTGCTCATGGATACAGGTGGTGACCTACAGCTCCTCGTGAAACGGTCTTACCACACCATTTTGATTAATCGCTAATGCGTCTCACCTGGGTAGAGCTCATCTTCTGAGAAACGAGTATAGTCTGCTGATTCGGATATCGATCTGAAGTTGGCAGGTATTCCTGATGGAGTTGTGAACATGGTCCATGGAGGGGCGGAATCGGTAGAGTGGATCTGCAAACATCCGAGTATCAAG